CAAATATATATATATATATAAATATATATATGATTAAGCTCTGAACCGTTGTATCTTAGAAATGATTAAAGATATCTTGCTGGAATTATCCGAGGTTTTTTATAACACTATTGGACTCTACTTCGAGCAATAAAAATGTATAATTACTTTCGAAGCTTAACAGAAGTATCGTGATGAAATCGATCATAAACGAAAATGACATGTTCATCATCAATTAATCATAGCTAAGGATCGGGAGCTCATAATGGAATGAAATTAAGTTCAAATAAATTCCACACACACACACACACACACACACACACATATATATATATATATATATATATATATATATATATGCATATGCACATTTCAGTGAATACGACAGAGAAGTTGCTTTTATTTAGTTTTTTATACAATTTCTCATGTGATCTAATATTTCTTTTTCCTTTTCGGGTGGTAAATTATATAAAAACTGCCTGAATGTTCTTTTTATCCGAGCGCTTTCGGCTATAAATTTAGCCATTTTCAATGATAAAAATATTTTAACTGTTAAATAAGAAATAGTTTGTTGTATGTATGTTTTATAAAATGTTTTCATTTTTCAAAACACGGTCAAGGTATTGTGTTCATGTTCGAAGTTCATATTATTAAGTTTTGTTTATTATTATTATTATTAAGGCTTCATTATTTTTACCCCTTTTTGCATGTAGATGCTGCTATTATATTTGTGTTGTCAACAATTATGTTACGAATAGTGTCCGTTATCTATCTATCTATCTCCCCCCCTCTCTCTCTCTATATATATATATATATATATATATGTCTAATTTTCAGTACATCTATTTATCTATATATGTCTGTCTAATTGTCAGTCTATCTATCTATCTATCTATCTATCTATCTATCTATCTATCTATCTATGTCTAATTGTCAGTCTTTCTATCTATCTATCTATCTATCTATCTTTATATATATATATATATCTAATTTTCAGTACATCTATCTATCAATATATGTTTGCCTAATTGTCAGTCTATCTATCTATCTATGTCTAATTGTCAGTCTATCTATCTATCTATCTAATTGTATCTATCTATCTATCTATCTATCTATCTATCTCTCTCTCTCTCTCTCTCTATATATATATATATATATATATATATATATATATATATGTCTAATTTTCAGTACATCTATCTATCTATCTATCTATATATGTCTGTCTAATTGTCAGTCTATCTATCTATCTATCTATGTCTAATTGTCAGTCTATCTATCTATCTATCTATCTATCTATTTATCTATCTATTTATTCAGGCCTGTTCTTTTTTCTTTCCATATCTATACACTTGAAGAGGTTAAGATAGTGGTCATCGGGGAAATATCCTCTTGGGAGTCTGTTCCACAGGGCATTGCTTCGCGGAAAGAAGCTGTTCGAATGGAACTTACTTCTTGTCGATGGAATGTGCCTTGTTTTTTACGACTTAAGTTGAATGGTGAGTCCTAGTCGTGAAGGTTAGAGCTAGCGGATCCAAGGTAAATAGTTCATCCGAGCACTTCCCATGGATGTAACGATAGAGCAGTGAGAGACTCGCCATGTTGTGTGTTTGAAGTTTATAAATTTCTAGATTTATTTATACCTTTTATTTTCATTCTCTTTTAGAACCCTGTTAATAATGAATACACAAGATGTCATCTTTGTTGACGCCCACCTCCCTGGATATCTTAGCACGGAGTTTAATAAAAAACAAAGGTTTATCGCCTAAAGATCAACAGCTTAGCTCAGCTTAAAGAATGCATTCAGTTAGCAGAACAGGAGATACATACTGAAATGCTTCAAACTGTGTTTTACAACATTAAGAGCAGATTTGAAATTTGCAGGGTTTTCAATATTGTTTTGAGGTAAAATTTATAAATCAATTTGTTTTGTATCATAATTCTGTAACAAACAATAAATTGTGTCATGTTTAAAAAAAAAAGTTCGATTTCATTGAAATAGTTATTTTTGAGACACACGTATTCAAATGAAAAAAACAAATGAAGAAATATAACATGAACCGCCATCACCAGTCTGTACTTTTATTGTCCTTTTCATTCCGTAACGTTTTCTTAGTTTTCTTTCCTTATGTTGCCTTTCACTCTAAGTAACCCCTTGTGGTCTAGTGGTTTTAGGAACTTGTTCTAGGCGATGTGATTAAAACAACAACAACAACAACAAAAAGAGTTTAGGTCATTTTTTTTTAATTCTCTACGTTTTATAGTTTCTTTCTCATATAACCAACATATGAAAATAGGTAAAATTCTATATGCAAATCCCATTACACCATTTAATATGGCTACCATTTTCACAGGAGCCCGTTGAACCTACATTTCTTAACCTTCGTTATGTCATTCAAGTCCTTACTTAACGGCCATTCCGCTATATTTACATTGCAATTACATCTCTAGTAAGATTTTAAAACTAGATGAAAGGCGATCACTCCCGCATTCAGCGCTTGGATATGTTTTATGATGCCAAATTTTGTTTTTATTTTTATTCGTTTTTTTTTATAGTCAAGTAGCCTATCTCAGTTTTTGGTGTCTCATTCTTGGCTTATCCAAAACACATATCATATATTTTTAGAAATAAGTGTGGGTTATTATTTGATCTTTCATAGGAGCTCATTGGACTCACATTTTTCAGCCCTCCTTACATCATTCAAGTCCTTATTTAACGGCCATTCCTCTATATTTACATTGCAATTTTTACATTTATATCCTGCATCGTGATAATATTTTTTTGACAACTTGCACTTTGATTTGATATTTTCTATCTCTTCCTAAACATTATCTGTTTCTTCTCCACCATATTCTGACGTGTGTGCATATCCTAAAATGGTAGCCATATTATTTGGTGTAATGAGATCGCCAGAGCATTGTTCTGCAACACTTGATCAGTACTCAGCTTACCACGTCTGACTCTATACTTTATTTCTCCTATAACCAACATATGCAAATAGGTAAAATTACATTTGCAAATCCTATTACAACCTTTAATACGGCTATGATTTTCACAAGAGCCCTGTGGATCCACATTTCTTACCCCCCCACCCTTACATCATTCAAATTCTTACTTAACGACTAATTTGTTATATTTACATTGTAATTGCATCCTTAGTAAGATTGCAAAACAATATGGCTGCTAGTGTATAATATGTGCTAGAAATATGTGTATAAATTTCTAATTTTGTTTATAACTTTATAATTTTTCTAACTCTTTTTTTCTAATTTTACTTTCATTCCCTTTTAGACTCCTATTCATAATGAATACACAAGAACGCATCTTTGTTGGCCCCACGCCTGGATTTCCTTGCATGGGGTTTCAAAAACAGAAAGGTTTATCGCCAAAAGATCAATAGTTTAGGTAGGCTTAAAGAATGCATTCAGTTTGCAGTGCAGGAGATAATTTCTAAAATGCTTCACAATGTGTTTCGCAACGTTATGAATAGATTTGAAATTTACAAGGATACAGACGAAGCACATTTTGAAAATCTTCAATAAAGTCTTGATTTAAGATTTATAAATCTATTTGTTTTGTATCATAATTGAGTAATAAACATAGAATTGTGTCATCTTTTAAAAAAAAATTGCCCGATTTCATTGAAATAGTTAATTCTGAGACACACGTATTTAACTAAAAAAAAAATCAAATGAAGAAATGTAACATGAACCGTCATCTTCAGCCCTGTACTTATTATCATGTAATAAAATATTATATATATATATATATATATATATATATATATATATATATATATATATATATATATAAAGCAGATGTGTGTGTGTGTGTGTGTGTGTGTGTAATGAATGCACGGCCGCAATTTTCGACGGATTTGCACCAAATTTTACATGCACATGCTTCAAGTTAGCGGGAAAAACAAGACCGACTTCGCATTTCCCAACACCCATCGATAGTGTAAATAATAGATTTTTTCATGCTTCTACGGCAGTTTTCATGTAGTTTGCGACCATTTTCTACTGGCCAGAGTGAGAGCCTATAGCTGGCTGCCACGAATAGGCAGGAAGATTCTATTGGACAGCGTGAGAACCAACAGCTGACTGACACGAATGTTAACTAGCATGCTAGCATGCAAAAAAATCGATAGCTGCATTCGTCACACGTGGGAAAAATTTAAATCTGCATGGCACTTTACTCCAATTGGCTCATTCGCTTGCTTAAACTCAACGTTGATTCTGATTCCGGAGAACTGGGTTGGGTGTGAAAAAGTATTTGTTGTTAACATTCTTTTTTCATTCGGTTTTTCCAGTTACGAGTCCTTTTTTTTTTAAAGCTGATCGTTTTGTGTTCATTTTGTTTAGTCCTTTTTTCGTAACAGATTTAATGTTTAGTATAGAGCTTAGAAAAAATTCGCAGTGTGAGATAGGCAAGAAGTAAGGCATATAGCAACATCAGCACGGCTAAGGGCACTCCTTTCAAGGCAAGGAAGAGCAAAAATATTTTAAATCAAGTGATAGCGATTGCTGTATGAGTCATACGATTTTTGAATCAAGCACGAGCAACGCCGGGCCATGCTGCTAGTTTATATCTATCTATCTATCTATCTATCTATCTATCTATCTATATATATATATATATATATATATATATATATTATGAAATGGACAAAGTCCAACAATTATTTTAAAAATTTTTTTATGTATATACATTCTTTTTATAGATACAAATATTTAAGAAAATGTTCTGTTTTATAATAAACAGTATTAATAACATTTAGCGGCCTGAATGTCCGAGAAATTTTCATAGAAAATATTCTCCGACAGGAATCGAACCTGTATCCTATACGGAACCGTCATTTAGCCTGACGTACGTTAACCAATCGAGCCATTGTTTGATTGGCAAGGTCGATTTTAAAATCCTCCGTGGCTCAATCGGTTAAAGCACGTCAGGCTAAATGACGGTTCCGTATAGGATACAGGTTCGATTCCTGTCGGAGGTAGAATGGCACAAATCAAGCTTATGGCCATATCACGTTGGAACACCGATTCAGGTACGATCAGCGAAGTTAAGCCACGTCGAGGCTGATCAGTACCTAGATGAGTGACCGCATTGGAATGCAAGGTGCTGTATCTGTAAGCTTGGATGTGCAGGTGGTGTAATGCATAATCCCTCAGAATTGTTAATCGGAGAGCCGAGTTCAAATTCCCGTTAAGTTCGCTATATTCACTTACGCGCAAATACCCTTGGGAAATAATTATAACCCACATCGTCAGCAAATATGCCTGGAAGGAACACTTTCATCCTAAGCACAGATACTATACCAATCTTTGAGGGAGCTACAATTTCTTATTTCTAATACACGTTTCCATGTTTTTGTCAATAAAGCATTCACGTCGCAGCTTTTCTCATTGTTTACAAAAAAATCCGTCACCCACATTCGAATATTAACTTAACAAAAATGTTAACAAAAAAAAAAAAAAAAGTAGTCAACCGTAGTTGGGATCATCGAATCAATATGAATGATCTGCATAGTATGTGCTACGCCAGGGCTAAAAACAGTTTTGAATTCAGAGTTTTCTTTCTCCTAGACCGACTGCCATCCAAGGCTATAGAACATAATTTGTCCTACTATTTACCCATAGATGTGGGGATAAGAATTGGATTCTTAACTTTCCCAAAGGAATTAGCGCGTAAGTGAATGTAATGAACCCCGACTGCAATTCGAACTCGGCTCTCCGATTCCTCAATACGAACAGCAATCCACCACTCTGAGCCTTTAATTCCTCTTTTCTATGAACCGTTATCGTTGCTCATATATTCTGTCCGTGGCCTTCTTAGTGTTCGTCAGAAAAAACACATCTCCAGAGCTTGAGGTCTATTCTTCAGCTGTAAGGACATTGTCCAGCATTCACCGCCATGAAGCAGATGAGATATGATATTCCCGTCCGAAATTCTTGTCTGTATTGTTGGAATTTTTGGGTACCCTGGTGTACTAGTGAGCCAGACAAAATGAGCTGACTCATTTTATAGTTCACCAATAGAAGGGTTAACCAATCAGAAGGCTCAAAATATTCAATGCGACGTGTATAAAGGCGGCCATATTTTTTCCGAATATGCACTGCCAGCCTTTGATAACCCGGACGAGGCTCCGCCAAAGGGCATAGTCTCGTTCGAGGAGGATGACTGCTCCTGAACCCGTTTATACGCGTTCGAATAGGGAATATTTTTGGCCGAGACTACGGGCTCGGGTATCCCACGTTAATCCGGGCCTTGTGCCACATGTAACCTTCGTAGGGGGGTGGCTAAATATCACTGCTAGCCTTTGATATCGAAGACTGAAGAATTACGGAACAGCTGCTGGTGGTATTGGCGATATAGTCAGATTCAGTAGAGAGTCTGACTCGTAAATGTTAATCTTTAACGTTGTTTCATTGAACAGATTACGTACTGCGCTGTATTCTATATTCATAGACTATGGTGAACATGGTCAACATGTGTTACTTTTTTTAAAATCGGTATCACCCCGTGCAAGGAGGTAAAGCCACTACGACACAAAGGTTTACATGGTGTGGAAGATTTAGGAACAGAAACATTAACGATGAGCAAGAAAAAGAAAAGAGCAATCAGAAGGAGAGTGTATAGTGATTGATACTGTATTTGTTGTTAATTCTTTGCAGATTAAATTTGGCTGGAAAGCATGGATCTGGAAGGAGGTTCCACAAGCGAGAAGTGCGAGAAATAGAAGTGTCAGCGTAGAACTCATGGCTACATCTAGCCATGTTTACTGTAAGTTGATTGTAAGCGATCTGGGATTACAAAGGAAATATTTGTCGCAAATTACTTCCACAACGCAGAGAATAAATCACTGTAAGTTCAGACTCGAACATCGGAAGACAGAAAGAAATGCCGAAAACTCGATTCGCAGGTACTATCTCACAAATCCCAATGCACGTAACTAAACAGAAAAAAACTCACTCCTCGACCTACGCGGTAGCGAAAATGCCCGAGTTTTATTATCTCTTTTGCTTTTATCGGCCGCGCATTTTTTTTTTTCATTCGTCGACAACTGGGAGAGGACGCTCAATTTTTGCATATCAAAATATATTTATAGCGACTCCTGCGACGGACTTGTTTCTGATTTAAATATTCCGTCTTCAGCATGTTATACGGAATACGTGCCCCCCCTTTTTTTAGGTAAGTAATTTTCTTTTTCGCCACATTTTTCGTCGTAGGATACACGCGACACGTTGTCGCTTGGTTTGACGAGGTAAATCGCCGTTTTCTTCGCTATATTGATGAGATCTAGACGCCAGTCTAGTACTGGGATTAAAGTCTAGGTGTATTAGCGAAGAGTTCAACCGAACAATTACCATGGAAGTATTTAGAGAAACGACACAGAGAAACAGTGACCAATAATATTGCTGATTCTTTTTGTTTTTGTTTTTTTTATCAAGGAGCTCAAAGTAAATAGCAGGGGCACCGGATCATATGTAGCATAAATATTCTAAGCATGGACTAATGACAGACTTATACATATGTAAGATAAATTCTGGAGAGAAAAATCGTCTCGCAGACACAGCGAACCAAATTTCTTATCAGCTAACCCAGCAATGGATTCAATATAGACAGACAATCTCACGGCGGTTGGTAAGTGACTGAAGCTGAGATGTTAGATCAGGATCAATACTATTGCTGATTATTCTTTGGATTTTATCAAGAAGCTCAATGTATGGAAGATAACATTTTGCTATCTCTTAATACTTATATTAAATCCATGGGCCTTCGTTGTTTCTTTCCGCTTCTTTCTATATTAATTAATTAATTAATTAATTAGCTAATATAAAATAAACGAAAACGCGGCAATCAGAATGAAAAATCCTGGCTGGAATTCTTAACTTAGCAATCAACATCCTGGATTTTTGTCTGAATATAGAGGGAATCAATGTGATAATAACATCTAAGAATAGAAAACAGTTATATTCAACCGTGAGAATTCGACTGGGAAGGTACATTAAGGAGAAACAAATATCTTGGATTGATAATGACTTATCTTAAAATTAAAGAAGGTCTCAGAAGCAAAAATAATGATTTCCATAATCCAAATATATTTTGGACTCATAATGACTTTTCATAAAATTAAGACGGTATTTGCGGCAAAAAGAATGAAGTTGATAATCCCAAAATATCTTGGATTGATAATTACACATCATAAAATTAAAGTCGGTATCAGTAGCAAAAAAAAAAAAAATGAGGTGGATAATCCCCCCCCAAATGAAGTGGATACCCCCACCAAAAGAAATATGAGGTGGATAATCAAAAAAAAAAAAAAAAAAAGAGGTGGATAATCCCCCCCACAAAATGAGGTGGATAATCCCCCCCAAAGTAAATGAGGTGGATAATCCAAACATATATTTGATTGATAATGACTCATCTTAAAATTAATGGTATCAGAGTCAAAAGTAATGAGGTCGATAATCCAAATATTACTAACATATATGGTCCGGTGCCTCCACTGTACGTCTCAAGGTTCTCGAAAAAAAACATTGACGAATATGCAACGTGATAGGTCACGATCTGGCATCTAGTCTACAGTCGCTTTCTCACATACATACCTTGGCTTCCCTCTGTCGCTTCTACAAGCATTTTCACGGCAACTGTTCCGACGAACTAGTTTATCTGGTTCCCGGACTACATGAATTTAAACGAGCTACCAGGCTGGCATCTCGGTCCTACCCTTTCACTGCCGAAACGGTTAAATGCAACCGTCTCTTCTACTCAAACAGCTTCTTCTTCTCTCACTTCCCGTCCGTGGAACTCCCTTCCCCTTACTTGCTTCCCGGATAACTATAATCTTCAAATATTCAAGTGGAATGCCAATCGACATCTGACACCCTGAGCTTGCTCCTCCTCTTTGTCTGTATCGTTTCCTCAAACACGCCTCTTTACTCTTGATCTCAATCATCTATAAACCCTTGCGGGCTAGTGGCACTTGCGTCTTGCTTGGGGTGAATTGCTTTAATATATATATATATATATATATATATATATATATATAATTATTATTATTTATAAAAAAAAAATTATGACATGAATATGTTATAAAATCACTACAAAAATAGCCATTTTGTTTCAACATCCTCGGTGATGATGTTGAAGATAAAATAAATGGTTTTAAAAGTTTCAAATTAATTAACGATCCTTCACTAGGGGGAAACATTGTAACAAAAGCTAGAATAGCCAATCAAGATCCAAGTATAGGAAGATTCAAAAGCTTGACAACGAAATCATGTTATAATAGCTATTCAGATCTTTAACATACGGGTAATATTAAAAAGAATTTATACTAATCAATAATTATAAACTTATATGATAAAATTTAATATTAAAATTTTAATTTTAAAATCCAAATTTAATCACTATTAAGTTTAAAAACTATAAAATTATTGAGAAAAGAAAAACTACATATGTTATTCAATTTATATTTTATCTTCAACATCATCACTTGATAAGACACCGAGGGTGTTGAAACAAAATGGCTATTTTTGTTGTGATTTTATAATATATTTATGTTATAATTTTTTTTTTTTATAAATAATAATTATCTCTGCTCTACTTTGTATTGAGCACTCTTTTAAGAAAAGTAATTGTTGGTTATTGGAATTCATTCCGTATATACCAATTATATACTTGGAGATATATATATATATATATATATATATATATATATATATATATATATTGGATCGATAATATATAATTGAATTTTAAAATTAAAGAAGCAATCTTGAAGAAGAAACAGATCGATGGTTCAAATATCTCCGGTATGAGATGACTCGTTTCAGAATTAAAGAAGTTGTCTTAAACAAATAAAATGCAGCGAATTCTTGAACATCGCTCGGAATAAGCTTAATCTAAATGAAATGTTAAAAACGATATTTTCGACAAAAACAATGAGTTCTATAAACCGGATACAACCTGGAATTATAATGACTAGCCTCAGACTCAAAGACTATGAATTAAACAAGGAGAATGGCACTGATAATTTCTGTGGATAACAACACATCGCAAATTGAAAGTGCCTTAATGACTCCAACCTGGTTCTGTGGCGGAGGGAATTTTTCTATTTCCTT